CTCCTGTCGGAGGGTGCCCTGTGCCCTCACAGCCTCTCCTGCTCCGAGATGCGGCTCTCCTTGCCATCCTCCTGGGCCACGGGCTGGCCTCCAAGCAAGGTCTCCTGCACAGGGAAGTCCTCCACCTCCATAGGCTCCGGGATCCCTCTGAGGTCCCCAGCCTCTACCTGCACAGGGGCAGGGGGTCAGGGGCAGGCAGCTGCATCCCCCATCTCTGTGGCCTCATCTTTCCCCGGGCTCCTGCTACGCTCTCGTGCAGGGCAAGGCCTCACCCTGTGTGGGACCCTCCTATCTCAGCATTCGCCAGCAGCATCCCAGGGCTGCCTCAGCCCTTGTCCTGTCCAGGCTGGACAGCCCTAGGACCGCCCCCACCCCTCACACCCTGCAGAGCCATAGGCCCTGCTCTGGTGCTCTCTGCTGCTGGCACATCCCCAGCTGTGCCCAGGAGAGACCCCAGGCCACTGCTGGAACAAGGCTCTGCGCAGACTCACCTCCTGCTTCTGCTTTTGTCGCCTGGGATCTGGATGGAAAGAGAGACAGAGAAGGTAACAGTCAGGGGAGTGCTCCTGCCCTGCCCTGGTGAGCTCTCAGGGGTCAGAGCCAGAGTTGGTCCCCACAGGGACCGGCACTTTCCTCCAAGAGCTGGCCCAGCTTGGGCTGCAGCAGTACAGACATGCCTGCTCCCGAGGACCAAGCCCCCTGACCCGACAGGGCGAGGGGGTCAGGGAGCCGAGCCCTGGTGGTGCCTCCCAAAGGGCTTCCCTGCTCTCAGCAGAGCTGCTCAGCTCCTTGGCCCTGTGTGTCCCCTCTGGCCAAGACATTGCTTCCCATGTCCCAGCCCCTTACCTGTGTGGACCAGGCAGTAGATGCAGATGCCCACGAGGCACGTGACAACTGCAGCCGTGATGGGGATCAGCACCGACAGCGAGGAGCGCCTGCTCGACTCTGCTGAGGGAGATGGGGTCAGTGAGGCACCCACGTGACACCGTAACGCCGAACGCCCTGAGCTGCCTCTGCGCCAGGCCCAGTCCCATGGAGATCCCTCACAGGGACATGGAGGAGCAGGAAGGCATCCTGCCAGCAGTGCAGTCAGACCCCCTCCCAAAAACACCCACGGGCCAGGCCAGCTCCTCTAAGTGCTGCGGGAGCTGGAGCACCAGGAGGTCGCTGCTCTGCACCGGCCCAGCCCAGGGCACAGGACACTTACCGCAGATCACATCCGAGGTGTTCGTCCCCTGCGCCTTCACCACCAGCCCCTTTTCTTCACAGCTGCAGGGAAGAACGTGAGCATGTAACCACAGCAGCAGCCCGAGCACACAGAAAGGAGCAGCCAGGGCTCGGCAGCCAGCAGAGCTGCACGAGAACGCATCCTGCACTGAGCCTGCCCAGCTCTGGAGGGGCAAACGGACTGGGGCTCCCGGCTGACCCCAGTGCCTGTGCTGCCTGAGAGGGACACCAGGAACATAGCCGGGCCCCACCCCAGGGTCCTGGTCTGAAGCTGCTGAAACTGCTGAATATAGGGACAAATTTGGGGACAGGGTGCAGGAGGGACCAGATATTTGAGACCTGTCGAGTTGGGGAGACCCTGGGGCTCGGGCACTGCAGCTATTACAGAACAGCTCAGAGACAACTCGATGACAGGCTACAAGTGGCTCTGTGGGGAGGTAATTTCTGGGCACAGATAAAAGCAAAGTGAAATCCAATGGCTGGCAGCTGAAGCGAGACTAATTCAGCCTGGAAATAAGGCTCACGTTTCTACCACAGAGCGCAATTAACCCTGGAGCAGCTTTCTAAAGACAGGGACAACCTGCTAGGCCATGGCATCCTCAAAGCCAGACTCCCCACAGAGAGGGCTGGTGCCTGGGCAGATGACTATAGCCAAGGAGTGTGCTGGGAGGGAAAGCCTGGACAGGGCATGGGGGGTCCCTGCAGCCCCTCATCCCTTGCTCCCCAGTGCAGATGACAGTGCAGACATCCCTGGAGGGGCCAGCACTCTGTGCGTACACTGGGGGACAGTCAGAAGCACCTGATGTCTGCCTCGAGCTCAGCCATGCTGCCCTGGACCCCACCTCCCTCACAGCTCCTGCACTACACCAGCCTGATGCTCAGAGACCATGCCAGCTGCCCAGAGCCCCTAAGAAGGATGGCAGCAGAGGACGTGCTCATGGGGACCGGGCACAGCTGGGGATGGGTGAAGGATGTGGTCAGCACTCAGACAATACCTTGTCCAGGGATGGCACGGCTCGGTTTTAGAAGAGACATTGGAGAAGGTGCCTTCTGCACAGGGCTCGCAGGGGGAAGACATCCGGGCCATGGCCTTGGCTGGAGAGGAGCACAGGTTGCAGGAGGGTCAGTATGGGCTGGAGGAGGTGAGGGGCTGTGGGGTCAGGTGAGCAGCCCTCGCCATGGCAATGCTGCCAGGCACAGTGGCAGGCACAGCTCTCCTGAAGCCCTGCTAGGAGCATCCCCCTTTCCCTGAAGGACCTGAGGTCAATGCTGCCAGGGCATCGGTCCCACTGAGAGGGACGAGCTGTTTGGACTCACCTGCCACGAAGCCAAAGCCACGCTGGCAGGGCTGGTTCTCCACACAGGTCTGGCAGCTAGCATCAGAGCAGTGCATGCCAGCCTGGCACTGGCACACGGTGTTGTGCGTTGCATTTCCTTGTGTCTTCACAATGAGGCCAGCATCTGAGCAAAGGGAGCACAGGCGAGGTGAGACGCCGGGCAGATGAGGCTGGGGGGACACCAGCCCCCATAGGGCAGGGCTGGTGGGCACAGGGAGTACTTACTGTCTTCACAAATATCATGGGGGGTACAGTGCTTTTCCTTGGTCCAGCTCTGCTGATAGTGTCCACTCTCACAGCGGGCACAAACAGAGTCTCCTGTGTCATTGCATTCAGAGACCAGCTTTTCCCCTGCAATAGAGGCTGGTGAGGAAGGGGCAAGGCTTTTCCCCTCTCCAGGCAGCAGCTCTGCCAGCAGGACAGGGGAACACTGGTGGCTGTGGATGCCAGGGCCACTGCAGGATGCTGCTTGGTAGCCTGATGCCGCTCTGGCAGCCGGAGCTGCAGGG